AAAACTTCTGTGAGCCCTGGCTGGTGTGGCTCAGTGGATTGAGCACCGCCCTGTGAACCAAAGGGTCACTGGTTCCATTCCCAGTCAGGGCACATGCCTGGGTTGCTGGCCAGGTCCCCAGTTGGAGGCATGTGAGAGGCAACCACACATTGACGTTTTTCTCCCTCTCTTCCTTCCCCTCTCAAATATCTTTTAAAAAAAATATTGAAAGAAAAAGAAAACTTCTATGAGATGAGTTGGTTATAGAACTAACACTAAATGGAGAATTATTTATGAGAACTGTAGTATTGCCATTAATATTTCATTTGTAATTTTTTGATGTGTTTTCCTATAATTCTCTGTTAAATTAACTGAATTTGACTAACAAATGTATATGCTTTAATACCATTAATCCTTATCTTAAACATTAAACAGAATACAGGACGGGGCAAAAGTAGGCTTCCAGTTGTGAGTACACAAAACACTGAGTTTATTCTTGTAGTATTTATTAATTACTGTATTATTTTCCATACGAACTGGAAACCTACTTTTGCCCCACCCTATATATTTTATATCCCTCTCTCAATAAAATATATAAGCAGTGGTTTCTGTCAGTAAGATCAACTTGTGGGAGCAGAGCCCTGGCCCTCCCCTTTTTATTAAAGCTCCCCCCCACAATAATTTTAATATGAGCCAAAGTAGGGAACTACTATATTGAAGGAAAATTACTATAATTTATTTTTCATGAATTCTAAGTTATTTTACGTTACACTAAATTAAAAAACGCTTACTTGCTTCTTTGATGGAGGTGGCCTTAGAAGAAGGTGAGGCTTCTAAATATTAATCCTTAAGGTTTGCATTTCAAATGTAAATTTCTTAAATATATTAGAACTAGATTGTGCTACTTAGTAATTTTTTTTACATTATTTACATACTCACTTTTCACTTCCTGAGCACAAATAAAAAAGTTAATGTTTTAGTTTGCTTTTGAAATACTGTATTTTGGGGCAAGACTTCAAAATCATAAACTGAGGGAGAGAGGCCATTCTCTTAGGTTCAGAAAGTGCTTTTCACATAGTTATACATAATGTTTTATAATGTGATTAAGGAGGGGGCTAAGGTAACTTAATTAATTTTATGTATTTTTTTTACCTGAAAATTATTATCTGATTAAGGATAAGGGTTTGTTTTATAGTAATAAAAATCCATCGATGCAGCCCTGGCCGATGTGGCTCAGTTGGTTGAAGCGTCATCTGGTCGCCAAAGGCGTTGTAGGTTTGATTCCCACCCAGGGCACATATCGAGGTTGCAGATTGTTCCCTGGTCCAGGCACGGGTACATGTGATTTCCGGTCCGGTGCGTAAGGGGGCAACCAATCTGGGCTTCTCTTGTCCTTCCTCTCTCTCTAAAATTAAAAAAAAAAAAAAAAAAAAAGAAGCAATGAAAATATATCCTTGGGTGAGGATTTAAAAAAAAGAATCCATGAACACAATTTCTATGTTTAATCCTCTTTAAATTTTTTAGTTTGTACTGGCACTGTTCCTTTCTTCACATACAGCTGATCTAAAGCATCAGTACAGATACATAGGCTGGCTCAGCCAGTGCTGACTGTGCTTTTAAGAAAAACGTGTTAGGTCCAAAGCTGAGGTATAGGAATAGGAGAACGACATCCCCCTGCCCGGCCACTCGTGACACCCCAACCCCATACCTTCTCTTTTTTTAACCCAAGTACTCATCACCTTCCAATAGTAATAGAACATATTTCTTTTTTATTGTCAGTCTTTAGTCTCCCAGAATTTAATGTTCATGAAAGCAGAGATTTTTTTTGGACTGATAGATCCCAAACTCCTAAAATAACATTGGCACTTAATAAATATTTAGGGAATGAAGGAATAAACCATGTATACACTATGTTTACTATGTTAAAAATTTTATCCACATATTGTCAAGGCTTCAAAAGAATAATGGAAAATTAAAACATTTGATTTGTTGCCCTGGCTGGTGTGGCTCAGTGATTGCGTGCCTGTCTGCGAACAAAAGGGTCACCTGTTCAATTCCCAGTCAGGGCATATGCCTCGGTTGTGGACCAGGTCCCCAGTAGGAGGCACATGAGAAGCAACCACACATTGAAACTTCTCTCCCTCTTTTTCTCCCTCCCTTCCCCTCTCTAAAAAATAAAAAAAAACTTAAAAAAAACCACATTTGATTTGTTGATGTGACAGAGTTGTGAAGAAATTCTGTCCTTTTATTCGGTGTTTAATTTTAATTTCTAAAATACTTGTATAATAAGTAGAGCAACAAAAAGGAGAAATACTAAATATATTTATCACAGTTTCTAATAATTTTCTATTTTAAGTGAAGACTATTTTACTCTGCTTTAATTTATTATCTACTCTTTTTCTCATGATGTTTAATTTCATTTTCCCTAAAAAATTAAGGACATTTCTGATTATTTCTTTAAATTTTTCATTGACCTCCGCCAAGCCTCCATGTCTCTAAATATAGCAGACATTATCGCTCTTTCAGGTTATGCACAACCAGGCTATGTATCTGTACCATAAAATAACAGGTGACTTCAGATCTATAAAGGAATGGTAAAGTAGAGCATATGTTTACTTTTCTCCCCTCAACTTTTTTTCCTGTTAAATTTCTGTAGAAATTTTACTCCCATCAATGTGTGGACAGAAAACTTTGCTTTGTGCCTAGATTGCAGGCTGAACCTTGCACTTGGGCTAGCTCTACTTCAAATGTGATGGCAAAGTTTGAATACTGGATATCCATCCTGCCTCTTCTGATAGTTTATTTACTCGTGTACTATAAAAATTAAGATTTGCTGGTTCTCTTTTTTTTTAAACTAGGTGGCTTCCCCTGTGCCAAAGCCTCCAGAGGACAAGTCGGAAGCTGTGCATATAAGTCATCCATTAAAACAAAGAAGAAGAATATAAGATTACTAGTAGCAAATTAATATTTTCTAAGGGAGTAATCTATTTTTTACTTTTAGCCTGTCATTTTAATTCTTGAAGAGATTGGATTGTTGGTATTTTTTTCAATGCATTCCTCTTTGTAATTTCATTCAAGTTACTTGTCTAATTTAGTTTCATCTTTTAAAATTTGTTTATCATGGGCAAAATACATGCCAGCCAACTGTTTCCTTTAATAAAACTTTTCCAGAAACTCCACCCAGTGCCTTTGCTTACATCTTACTGGCTAGAACTGGGCCCATGACTGTTCCTAACTGAGGAGACTGGAATAGTGAATGTTTAGGTTTCCAACTCCTGTGGTTGAGGAAGCAAGAGAAGAGGGGGTTGGGAGTGCCTGACTCTCAATGTTTGCCACAAGATCCAACGTTACTAGCTAACTTAAATACATAAAATTAGCTTACCGTTACCGATTATAGATGTTTTGATCCACACTTAATACAGAAACTGTTCTTACAACATTACCTCTCACACTGCAATAAGTATATGTGAATTAGTTGAAGGAAATAAATATAGGCAACCAGGATCTGTTTTTTATTTTAATACAAGTATTGAGTGATTCTCATTCAAAAACTAGAAGTCAGGATGTGTCTAGGTGTCTGAATGCCAGGGCTTCAAAATCAAGACAAATCTGTAAAGTAAAGAAATTAATACACTATTAGAACGAAGCTGAAATTAGAAGCTTACATGCTTAACTTGTAAGAAGAATTTACTTGATGCAAGGCAGAAACAAATGAGAATTAGTAAATACTAGACTCATACCACTACTTTTAGCACACCCATTTATTTTTTCCTTTTATCAGACCACATAATGGAAATCCAGTTATATCTAGGCTGTTTCCATATTTTTACTGTTAAAAATAACTGAAGAAATCACCCCAAAAAAGATTGATTCACTATGTTTAGGGTGGGGTTCAAGATTCTGTACCTCCCATAACTTAGGTGATCCCTTTGCACTGATGCATCCTCTGAGTAGCGAGGCTCTAGATGGCTGGGCTACACTCTCTGGGAGCAACCGAAGAACTACTGGTGTTGCGTCCAGACCTAAATGGTTACTCCACTTAGTATGTTATTCTAGAGTGTTTCACCCATCAGTCTCTTAAAATGAGAAGTCTGCCTTTCACACATTGCCTTTTACCAACATTTCCAGACAGTAGAAATTTGGGAATAGCCCTGGCTGGGTAGCTCAGTTGGCTGGACTATCATCCCATACATCAAAAGGTGGTGGGTTCAATTCCCAGTCAGGGCACATAACCTAGTTTCCAGGTTTGATCCCCAGTTAGAGCGTGTACAGAAGGCAGCCAATCCATGTCTCTCCTCAAATCAATAAACATATCCTCTGGTAAAGATTTTTTCTAAATGTGGGAATAAACTGGTGGGATAAAAGGGCTGAGATGGCTAAGGATAGTTTAACATCATTCAAGCTCATTCACAAAAATCATTAAATTACCAGAGAATAAAAAATTTCAGAAAAAAGTGTCTTCATATATCATGTTTGCAAAGCATGGTTGATCAAAGGTGGAATTAAAGGAAATGTTAATGAGTCAGATTTTTAGGCTGGCTCTTAGAGCTCAGAAAACCTGGGTCAAATTCAAACATGAAAAAAACCTTTATGGCCACAAAACACTGTAAAGTGCTATATATGTGTCCAAAATTTTTAAAAAATTTATTCTCATTGGCAACATTTGGGTTGAAAGAGATCAAGTTTTCTCCTAGCATTTCTTGCTGAATCCACTCTTTGTATTCACAGTCTGTCCCTTAAGCAAGATCAATATACCCTGGTTTTCTTTGGGAAAATATTAACATACAGGAAATCAGGATGAGTAGAGCTGAAGTTACAAGCTCAATGATAAAAGTCTGTTGAATTTCTTTGGGAAAATATTAACAAACAAGTATTTTAGGAAATCAGGACTTGAGTATAGTTGAGGTTACAAGCTCCAAAAAAAAAAAAAGTCTGGAATATAATTACTTAAATAGTCACTACTGTTTTGGCTCCCACAATACTAGGATGGGGCTAGGTGGGCCCTTCGTGGTTGCCTACACTTACAGGGAGCTGAAGGTAAAGTGTCTAGCAAGTGTTATTTTCAGATCCTTTAATAATGTTCTCTCAACCAATTTGGGCTGTTGGCACTGTACCTTTGCTTCTGGTAAACACTGTCCAAACACCTCCAACAAAAGTCTCTCTTCTTTCACTGCTTTTTCAAAGTCTGCAAAAGATATCTTGCCATCATTGTCATAATCCTAGATGGGAAGATGATTTCGTGATAAATGACTGAGTAGTTTATAACTTTGCATGGAAAATAACCGGCCAGAATGAAAGGTTATACCAAGTAAAACTAAGTTAATATTCTTTAGGCACTACCTACATAAAAAGTGCTTATTGGCCCTGGCTGGGTAGCTCAGTTGATTTTCTCTAATTTTTTGTCTTATTTGTCTACTTAGAGTACAGGGCTCTAAAATGGGTCATCCCAATATGCCTGATTCCTGGTCAGGGCGCATACAAGAATGAACCAATGAGCATAAATAAATGGAACAAAACTGATGTATCTCTCAAATCAATAAATTTTAAAAAAGTATTTAAGGAGGCCACTTAATTCCTATTAACTGAATAGGTATTCCTGGTATTATGGACTGAATGTGCTCCCCCATCCTGAAATTCATGTGTTTTAAACCCCCAATGTGATGATATTTAGAGGTGGGGCTTTTGCAAGGTAATTATGTTTAGATGCAGTCGTGATGTAATTAGTGTTCTTTTAAGTAGAGAAACAGATTAGAGCTCCCTCTCTCTGCTGTGTCAGGACATATTGAGGAGGTAGGTGGCTGCAACCCAGAAAGAGAGCCCTCAGCAGGGAAGTGAATCACCTGGCACCTTGATCTTGGACTTCCCAGTCTCTAGAACTGTGAGGAATAAATTCCTGTTGTGTAAGCCACCCAGTGTATGGTAAGTTTTTTTTTTTTTAAGATTTTTATTTATTTTTAGAGAGGAAGAGAGGGAGAGAAATATCAATATGTGGTTGCATTTCACATGCCCCCCTGCTGGGCATGTGCCCTACACTAGGAATAGAACTGGCGACCCTTTGGTTTGCAGGCCGGCACTCAGTCCACTGAGCCACACCGGCTAGAGCTGGTTATATGCGTGTATATATATACACACATATATATATTTTTTATAGCAGCCCAAGCAGATAAACACCTGAGTTACCTTATATCAAATGTAGCCCTGTACTCTAAGTAGACAAATAAGACAAAAAATTAGAGAAAGCCCAATATTACATTGCTATTTTTGTGATAAAATGAGTGCCATAGGGCAAAAATTCTCAAGCTTGGTTTTCCAAAGTAGAACTTGTTCCTCAAAGGATCTTGTACTTGGAAGCCGATTATGTATTCAATAAAAAGGATAAAAGTCAAGCTCCTCAGTTAAGGAGCAAGGCCCCGGGAGTTAGAGCCCTGACAGTTCCAGGTGGACGAGAGCCATGTAGACCTTTGAGGACGGCATCGAGACAGGTGCAGAGGCACAGGGAGGGAATGCAGAACAGCCCGACCTGAATTACAAGAGTGAGCAGGAGAGTGAGTCGGGAAGGAGAGAGACCTGCCTGGAGTGGGGCATGGATGACAGGGACTGTGGGTGATCAAGTCACGGGGGTAGCGTGTGTGTAGATTATGAATGCCTTTAATGCTTAAATTTGGATTTGATTTGATGGTTTTCTTCACTTCTGACCATAACTAAATCAGGGTTGTTGAAAGTCTAACCTAGAGAAAGGTAGGAATAATTTGTCAGAAGATGTCTCACTCTGTGACATTTCTTTTCAAAAAGGAGGGGGTGGGTTTGGTATGAGGGAATATACTGTCTCTCAAGAAGTCCGCACGGAGCCCTGGCAGGGTCTGGTGAGAACAGTTTCGTGGAAGAGGACCCCCGAGTCTGTGTTAGCTGAGTCTGAGACCCGGCTGTCCACGTCACTCGTTCCTTTCTTGAACTCCAGAGTAACGGGTCCCAGGCTGCCTTAAGGTCACAAATCTCACTGGTACCCAGTTTAGGGTCATGGTTAGAAAAAGGAGAGAAATTACTAGGTCCATAATAAATCAATATTATTGGTTCCATTGAAAGATGAATTCTGCACCCGGTTTTCTAGTGTAACCCTGAGTACACCTATTGGTACTTCAGTTTTCTCACCTGCAAAATTCAGATAATAATTTGTACTTCACGGGGTTATTTTGAGGGTAAAATGAGTTCATATATTAAAGTTCTATGAAGGGCCTGGCATATAGTAAGCACTCTATAAGGAACAACTATTTTTATTATTATGTTGTTTTGTTATAGTTAAGTGTTTAGATGAATTGGAAGGCTAAGGTTATGAAGACAGACTGGAATAGCATCCAGTTTTGTACAAATTAAAGCTGCTGCCTACCCCCCCATTAATTAATGGGACTTTACTGATACTCAAATATTTTAAAATACAAAATTAACATTAATTTGGTATAGCGATTCACTTAATTACCCAGCAATTCCACAGACATTCACTGAGCGCCCGCTATCAGCCAGGCACCGTTCTAGGCAAAGGGTAGAGCAGAGAAAAACAAAGCTCACAAAGCTCCTGCCCTTGTAAAGGTTACATTTATTATGGAGGGAAATAGTTTCTTCATCTTTAGCTTTACTCAACAGCCACTTGACTGGATATAAAGAGTTACAGTTTTTCATCTTACCATTTTCTTCAGTGTTATATCTACCAGCTCTTTTATTCCTTCATCAGCCTCTTCCTCAGATGACAGTTGGTGTAGACTGTTCCTCAACAGGTCAAATATCCCCTCTCGAGAAATGTAACCATCATCACCATTCAAGTAATAAACTTCAAAACAGACTTTTCAAAGCATAAGAAGTTTAAAGACTTGGCTAAGGACAGTTACAGTGTCATTAATCTTAGTTATTTCAATATATAATATAAAAGAATAAAAACAATTTATACAACCTACTATTGTTGGTCTCTAGGGGAGAGATTTTAAAATAAAGCGCCCTTTATTATATTTCTTTCCACAAGAATAAGTACCCCTTGGAATGTGAAAAGAAAGACTTATAACTTCAGGATTTTGAAATAGAGGGTTTAACAATGCTATGAAGCTGCAATAAAGGGTATACATATTTTTAAATCTTTGGTCATATAATACATAGTACATATGTGTATAAAATCTCATCGTTATGATTCTCTTCTTACGCAGAGTACAAAATAAGCACACACATTGCTATGTCACTGACAACATCAGCACGTTTTTGTTGTGAGTCTGTCCTCTTCTTGGGCCTGTCCATCCGCACTGTCCAATATGATCCCTCTCTCCCTGGAGTGACTTGCATCTCATGAACTAAGAGCTATCACAGTTCATCCATTCATCCCCGGGTGACTTACTCAGGTCCCGGGAATACAGCCGTGAAAGAGCGCGCGTGCCTTTTGTAATCCAGTTAAATGTTTTAGCAAAAGCAACAGAAACACGTATAAAACTCCAGAGTTATCAGATTAGCTTTGTCTTTTTGAGTTTCTCCTAATCCGTTGCACACATGAATTTGCATCACAACCTTACTAAAGTGGTATTTTCCCCCAAATTAATATACCTTGAAGTATATATGAAATATTTTTAGGAAGAGAGGTTAGAGGAGGAAAATTTTTTTGACCGTGTGATGCTATTCTATCACGTACAGCTACTTTCAACATCACAACTGCTTTCATCGGGTATTAGAATTACTGCAAGAATTTACATCCAAGAAACTTATCTCTTCACTTTTCAGCAAGACTTTTGAATAGGAATGTGGCAACAAGCTTAAATGGCAACTATATTTAAATGTTATCTGGTAAAAAATTAGACTGAAGAAAATAAAAACAAAACTAGAAACAATAAATGTCAGAAAATTGACAATTTAAAAAAAATATTATCACTTTAAAAATGTGTTTAATTAAGAGATCTTCTCTTGAACATTCCAACTCCGAATTCAAGTGGAAGATAAGGAGGGATAAGACATTTGCTTACGTCCTAAAACACTGTAGTCTTCTCTTAAGCAATTTGACACTAAGCAATGTTTCCTTGAAAACTGCTATTTAAAATTGTTTAAAACTCTCTTTCCAGGATTTCTCACCCCCAAATCCTGGCACCAAAGGTGTAAAACATAGGAAATACACATCACACCAATGCTAAGATGAGGTGAGACCAGACTTATTTCTAGACAGAATTGTGAACGGGGAGGCTTTTGTTTCTCTTCTGCAAGAAGCTCTCTTTATAGTCCTCCCCGCTTTGGGCTTCCGCTGTCCTTCAGCGTTCCCCTCTTTACATTCACCTACACTAACACTGGAGCATTGACATCTGGTGTTTTAATGTGTGTTTTACCTCGTTTTGTGTCTATTTCTAAGACCTTTTTTTAAAAAAAAAAACAAACACGCAATGGCCCTACTGTGATGTGTGTACTGTCCCACATCAAGGTCCATCTGCTGCTGAGCCCAGAGGCAGCCTCTGAAGCCTCCACCTTGCAAGCTGATTAGAGTTGGCACAAGCCCTGACCCTTGGCCTCTGTCACTAGCCTGGGCCTAAGCCAAAGGCCCACCCGGTGAGCTGACAGAGCCAGTGAATGAGGTGTTTGGGGATTAGGGACTAGGGACGCTCCTATGAAATAAGCCACCCATTTCATCTGGTTTTATTTTTTAAAGTTGTCATGAACTATCTTTGCAAGGTTGCTATAAAGAACACTAGTTTTATATTTTTAAAAAATATTAAACATTCACTAAATACCAAACTGGCAGTATATACTGCTAAGCCAGTAACCCATACAGAATCCTTACATTTCAGCTTTTCTTCAAAAGTCCCTCGAAGAAACACTGATAATCCTTCAACCCACTCATTTACGTTTACGCAGTTATCATTGTCTTTGTCAAATGCAAAAAATACTGAAAAAAGAATATATAAGTGTATTATAATTTATAGCTATAATTCAAGAGTATGTATGCATGTATGTAAGAATAGATGTTTAAAAATTTCCTCACAGAGGGGAGAAAAAGGATTTTGCCACAATCTTTCTTGAAAGAGTCAAAATCACTCTTATATGTCCCCCCCAGATTTTTATAGGAAGAGAAGTGTCATTCTCCTCCATGATCAACAATGAGCTTCACTCGCGATATTTTGTAGTTACTGCAAGTCAAGGAGTCCAAAGATGGAGCCAATCAATATGGTTATTTTCATTCTTAAAAAGTGGCAAAATTCTGTTCTAAAGAGTTTGTACAATGCCTAAAGGCAAATCACCAATATAATACATTATTTTAAAATTACCAATGAAATCTTAGTTTATCCCAAAGCGAATAAAATATTATCAACTCTTGGGAGTGGTGGGTATGTTAATTATTTTGATTATGGTTATAGTTTCAAGGGTGTACATATATATGTCAAAACTTCCCAGATTGAACACTAAAAACCTGTTAGTGAAAATGGATCACATTAAATGACTTCCTATTTTACAATAAATAAATGATCTTTGATTTCTTTCAGTATAATGAATATCATTTTTTGGTACTGATACATTTTTCATTTTTATGAGGAAAAAGAAGTCATTTAAAAATGTAGCATATGAATCCATACTCATCGTGATTAAAAGCCACATGCTTATCTTTGAAAAACAACGCTCTCTTAATTAGACCATTACTGGTTACCTCTCAAAGTGGTACAGTTAAGAGATAAGTCCTGGGCAAGTTTATACTAAAAACCATCTTGACAATAAAATCAACTACTGACATGTCAGCACTACCAGAATTGTCTTTTTAGTTTGGCATTAAAACATTCAAAGTCTTTGATGAAAATTAAGTATATACTTGCCATATATTTATATACATATATATGTTTGCCATCTCTGCTTGGCCCATTTCAGTCTATTATGACTTCTTACCCCTATTCATTAGCTTCTCATCCGTCATCCCAAATAAGCTGTGGAGGGCTGTTCGGAATGTATTACGGTCTAGTCCAACATTACCAAATCTCACATCAGCTCTTTCCATCAAGCCATGAAAAAGTATTATCAGACACTCTACTTCACTTTTTGTGACTGTAAAGTGAAAATATAAATACATATGAGTTTCTCATTGAGTTCTCCAATCTAATTAAAAATATTTGACTAAAAAGCTATTTTTCCTATGATGCTAGATGCCCTAGTGAGTTTTAAAGCATGACATGGACTTGTTACTTAAGAGCTTACACAGTTAATACGGGTCTCACTCTGAGAGAGGAGCTGGGCCATTTTCATGGGCATGGACTTGGAATTGGGCCTTGAAGGATGCATAGCATTTTTATGCATCCTCCTGCCTCTAAAGAGGTAGAATGGGGGGAGCCAGCAAGTTGGAAAGAAGTGAAAAATAAGACTGAAGAGAATGGCCTGATGGCCGAGGGTCCTGAATGCCTGGTCAGAGGATTAACATTTATTTTACTGGAAGTGTTTCTCATGGTGTCATCTTTGGACCATCTGTATGAGAGTCAAACCCTTCACCATGGCGTAAACATGCAAATTCCCAGGCCTTGCCCAAGACTTACCTTAGAATCGCTAACAGTGGGCCCAGGAGTTAGCTTTTAAACAAGAGCTATGTTGACTCTTCTATGCCCTAAGACTTGAGAAAGTGGCTGTATTGAAGACACAGGGGGCAGGCTCAGAGTGATGGGGCTTGGGAGGTGGAAATGAGGTCAAAGTGGGGAGCGAGCCTGAGATACTGCCAAAAATCGGTAGGGCTTGGTGACTGATTTTCAAACCAAAACTTTTTAACACTCATATGCCTGGATCTTACTCTAGGCTTAGAAAACTAATGGTAGAGTCAAAAAGTGAATAGGTGATTCTAATGCACCAGCAGGCTCGAGAACTTAGGGATTAGACTTTGTGGGTTGGGCGTACTAGACTTACGCATTTGGGTTCTACTCCCATTCCTGAGAGACTAAATAGCTGAGAGACAGACAAGACATATAGTACCTTATTCTTCAGAATCCTCAGCTAAATAAATTAAGTGTTGTCTGTCCAGATGATCTCAGAGAGTCCTTAAGTTTTTGAAAGTCTAATACTTTGAATCAAAGATTGAGAGAACTAAAAGAGCGGAGAAAGCTGGTTACTACTTTTTCTCTTCCTTGTCCGCCCTCTTTTCTTTCTTTCTTTCTTTCTTTTTTTTTTTTTTTTTGATGGGGATGGTGGGGAGAAAAAAAGTTATTTTAGATGCTGTCTTTGAGATGATTTTAGGTAACCCAAGAGAAATTAATGACAATATATAGCACATATGCCATTTACAACAATAGGGTTTCCACTGTGGTCAAAACAACTTGATTCTTAGGACAATGACTGACAAAACTAAGATAATAAGCAATTACAAAGGTACCTAATAATATTATTTTATGAACTGAATTAGATCCCCAAGCTTCACACTGTAGCTATTAGCCCCGATATATGAAACAAAGGTCTTTTTTAATCCATCTGGTAAGCACTTATTAAGGGTCTTCCATGAACCAGGATACGATTACTCCATGGTTCCTGCCCTCAAAATTGTTTCACTTTGGTGGAGATAAGGAAGTGCAATAAATCATAGTATAAGCACTATGACTGATGGTGGTTGGAGGTGACCCAAAGGAAGGAATTGGGGAGATAGGGGGTAAGTCATTAAGAAAGAGGGGGTGTCGCCAGCTAGGGCCTGCCAAAGGAGTAAGTGTTAGCGGAGGAGAAAGCTTGAATGCACGGAGGCGTGTTCTGAGAGCTGCAGATGGTTTAGTGTTGGCTAAGGGCCTAGCTGCTTACGTTTACAGACAATGGGGGAGCTTCCGGAACAATTTTGGCAGGTTAACTGGATCAGATTTACATCTAAGGAGGATCACTTTGGCAGGTTTTTGAAACTACCTTATGAGTGGTGAATACAGATGTGGCAGGTTATTATTTTCCCAAAGACCATTGAAACAATCTACCACACCCCATATGCTCTTCTTACAATGTGACTTTGATATTTCAGCCTCGGGGAGATGGCGCCCGTCTCCCTCACTTGAAACTAGTACTTTTGTGTCGGTTTCCTTTCAACCAGGTTAAGTGTACAGTGGAAATCAGGTGATGAGACTTTTCAAGGTTACATGGTAGAAAGGGATGCAATTGCTCTGAGGGCAAATACTTGGACTTTATTTTTTTGGGAATATGAAGAAAAAGGAAGCTCCGATATGGATACACTCTACAGAGTGCATTAGTAATAGGCACTTATCCTGCTCAATTCTGATGGAGAATTATTACCTGAGTGGGAATGTTACAGCAAGAGTAGCGTGAATTAAATTGATCCGTGAACAAAGTGAGGGTTAAGCTGCTCTGAGTCACCCAACAAAGCAATCAATCTCCAGTGGGTGACTTTTTCTGAGTTTACCCATCTGGCTCACATGTCATTATATCTACAGCCCTTATCATACACATGGACAAGGAACAATTTGTGATATTTGAGAAGTCATGGATAGTGAGAATGGTGTTGAGATGCTGGAGATTGACCCAGGTTATTCAATTTCTTAGTTTAGAATAATTTTAGATTTAAAAGGCATGCATTGAGAGTTCCCATGAACTCTTCACTGTTTCCCCCTGATGTTGACAGCTTACATAACCATGGGACATCTGGCAAAAGTAATACACTAACTCAGGCACATTATCAACTAAATTACAGCTTTACCAGGTTCCCCACTAATGTTCTGCTTTTTTATTCCAGGATTCCTTTGGCTGTCACGTTTCCTCCAATCTGAGTTTTCCGTGTTCCTTGCTTTTCACGACCTTTTTTTAAGAATGTTCCTTAATTTAGTTTTGTCTAATATTCTTCTCATAATTAGACTGTGGTTATGTGTTTTGGGGAAGACTACAAGATAAAGTGCAATTCTTGTCATCACACTTCAGGGACATACATGCAGTCTCAATTACTTGGTTTCTCCATAGTAATTACTGTTTTCCTTTTCCACAATCTAGTCTTTACAGTCCAGTCTCTCAAAGAAAAGGGAGTGAGGTGCCACTAACTTGGAACAGGGTGTCTATGCTATGATTCAGAATTCTTTCGTAAGATGTCTCTTTCCCATTTATTATGTCACTATGGTGTTACATGCAGTTTATAGCAATACTGTTACTTTGTTCTCAAATTGCTCCAGCTCCGCCATTGGGAGTTTTCAGGCTGGTTCCTATCTTGCATGTCCCCATCCTTCTGCTTTTTCCACACTTCCTTGCTTTCTGGCACTACGTGCCAGGCTCATTGGTATCATCCCTGTGAGACAACAAGAAAAAGATTCTTGGTCTCTGCCTCCAGAGCCGAGCTCCTAAAACCTTTGTGGTTTTCTAAGTGACATGTGCACTAGGAGCATCTTTTTTGCCTTTGGCTCAAGTTGTGGACAAAGCTCCTAAATCCCTTAGAAATTTCCTGGGTGATAGGAATGTCTTTTGTTCTCATGAGGTGACTGTTGGTGGCTCCTGGTCATGGAAAGACGAGGCCATGATTAAAACACTGGAACTTTGAGCCCCACCCACCATCCTTCAGAGGCGCTAGAAATCGAATTAATTAATGGTCATTCCCATGTGATGAAGTCTCCATGAAAACTGTCAAAATACAGGGTTTGGGGACATTCTGTGCTGGTGAACACAAAGGTGCTTAAAAGCAAGCAAAGCAGCTCTGCATTCCTCCCCTCATGCCCTTGTTCCTTGCATCTCTTCCATCTGGCTATTCCTGACTGTATCTTTTTATAGTAAATTGTTCATCTAGGAAGTAAACTGTTTCTGTAAGTTTCTGTGAGCCACTCTAGCAAATTAATTGAATCCCAGGAAGGGGTTGTGGGAACCTTAGATTTACAACCAGCTGGTCAGAATCTGTGGCACAGGGAATCACCTGGACTTGTAATTGGCATGTGAAGTGGGGGAGGCAGCACTGAACTCTTAACCTGTGAGATCTCCTCTCTCCAGGTAGCGTCAGAGAATTCCTACTAGGGAGAAACCTCAACAGTAGAAGTGACAGACGCGCATGTGTGGCACTCGTGTCAAAGAGAAACAGAAAGTAGCGCAGGCTTTTCCTCTACACTCTTTAGCTACTCTGTCAAGGAATCCTGTTATTGTTTTTAAATTGGACATTGCTATTTCAAAACCAAGGTTTAGGTACCTGGTGTGCCTGTGGCTACTGGGGTATTAATATCCCTAAACCCTCTCAGCAGACATAGCTAGGAAGTATGTCTACTAACCTATGTAGGCACACCCACTGTATGTCTCACAAATGAAGTGAAACCAAATACCGGACTAGTGGGCCTGGAGGTGGCCCTGGGCTAAGTGCCAGAAGGAACGATTGCATTAAAAACTCATGAACATTCTGGGGAGGAGACTCATGAATTCAAAAGGGCAAGTCACGCTAGATTTATTTCTCCTCTTGGTAGGAGTGGAACAGAGAAATGCAGTACACAAAGTATTTCGATTTTAACAGGCACGTGACAGAATTTCTTACCATTATAATATTAGTACCTACTCAGTAGCCTACAGAGCAGATGGTTGGCTCTCAAATGTTCACTAAATAATCATCAACCACTTGGAAATTGGAGAAGTTACAGAATATGCTGGATGAGTCAGTAGCATCTACATGCCAAAATGATCAGCTGAATCAGACAACATGAAATCACTAGAGGTTTGAAAATTCTTCACACAGGTCCTTAAAAAAACGTTCATGTATCTATTTAAGTGAAAAATTATGGTACAACAATGCATGTGAAAGACTGGGTCAATTTCCAACTTACTATCAATTGAAACTGACATTAGGCTGACAAAGTTAGTTTCACCTGGAAAAGACGATTCTGGTCAGGAATTTAGTGTCTGGGTGTCTGGCCCCACTTCCAGAGTTTTATATATACCTAGGGTGGTACCCAGGTACCCACATTTTCTTTTTCCTTCTTTTTTCTTTACAGAGGGGAGAAGGGAGGGAGGAGAGAGAGAACATTGATGGGTTGCCTCTTGTATGCACCCTGACTGGATACCCCAACCAGGCACAGTGAGATGCATAGAAAGGTGGAACCTAACAAGGGAGGACACACAAGTGAAAGTGGAAGTGCCCAATAAGGAGGCTGTAAAAGTGGCCGAAGGAAACGTAACTTCCTCAAATTCTAAAAACACCCTCAAAATTGTTAAGATAGTATGTGGTCATGCCTGACAAAAAAACCATTCACAAGATTGTTTTTTAAGGTCAGGGCAAGGAACCCCCAAATCTGTTACATTAGTTTTAATCAACACTTGCCATGTTTAAAGCACCATGCTGTTTCAACATCCATAGTATCTTATGTATCTCTCTCAATCCGCTGAGGTAGAGCAATCATCTGCTTCTATGGATTTTGTGCCAGGAACTCAGGGAACTGTCAAAGTAAACCTTTGTATTTTGAAATCTTATTAAATTTTGTATTATAATAAAATCAGTCCTTGGTTGGCAGATAGTCCTTTGGCACTTATGTGCCAAATTCTCAAGCTTTTTCCCACATACACAAATATATTTTAGGAAACCTGATAATTATTTTCAGCACAAGTGCAGGGATAATTGTTCACCTGTTATCTTTTACAGTAACCAAAATATACAGAAAACAAAGGAACTCTATTTTGAAAGTTCCAAAGCACTTGTTAATGTCCAACTAGTATGTCTACCAATGTTTTTGTTGTTGTTGTTAAACATTTATTTTCAGAGAGAGGGGAAGGGAGGGAGAAACATCAACATGTGGTTGTCTCTTGGGCACCCCCCACTGGGGACCGGGCCTTCAATCCAGACATGTGCCCTGACTGGGAATTGAACCAGCAAACCTTTGGTTCACAGGCCGGTGCTCAATCCAGAGCCACACCAGCCAGGGCTACCAATGTTTCTATTTGAGTAAAAATGCTCAGGCAGTGCTGAATGTATGGTCAGTACTTACAGCTCTTGACAGTTTTACTGATGGATTCCACCAGCCTCCTCAGCTGGTTCATGTTGAATGTGGCTTCAACACACTGCAGACTTGTCAGATAGCCTAGCTCCAAGTCTGGGCAGCCTGGGATGCCACTGATTCCACAGTTCACTCTGCCGTACCCCACAGAGAATGTCACCATGGCAACATTCCAGCAATCAAACACAGAAAGTTCTCAAGCAACTGGAAACACACTCAACAATGATTGTTACCACTCAGTACTGACGCAGTGATTTCATGAATGTTAGTGTGATCTCAAATATTGCAGCAAGTCTATCATTTCTTTTGTTTGGGTCTAACTAAACACCAGTTAAAGTGGCACTTGATATTATTGTCATATTTCCTCAACATAAATTGTACAGTTGAAAAATTTTCCCTCCTATTTGAACCTAATTAAAACTAAGATTATAAAGGCGTTAATCTTTAGTAGAAATAAAATAATTTCCCAGGCCATACAAGTTTCTTCAAGGGTTATAACTTCATTTGAAAACTCAAACCAAGTACATTCTCATGATACTCAAAAAGAGGCTTCAACCTGGGAGCCCCTAGAGGAATATTAAACCCACTTTCATCCCTCCAACTTATCTCAAACTGGTAGGAAAACATGTAACTATGCCAAAGGTGGCCAAAAAACAACTGTTTTAAGTCCTATTGTCAAATACTAGAATAGAAAACAAATAGCTTCTGGTTTGTCTGCTGGTCTTCACTGTGGTTAAGGCAAAAAACATAATGTACTAAAATAATTTTTAGAATTTAGGACACTAAATTCTAATTTTTTAATGAAATATAAAATTTTAAAATAAGGCAAATACAACTGGGGAACAAAAAGCTTTCTCAAAACTTTTCTATAGATTTTAAGTTCAAAACTGGCAATTTTTAAAAAGTGAAACCTGTCACATAAGTCTGCAGAATAACTGTTCTCAGGTTCTTTGAGATTAGTCTACTGTTCTCCACAAAATGAAAGAAAATTAGGCAACAGGCTTTTAGCATAGCTTGACTGATAGTACTATGTATGAACCCATATTCTTGATAAAATAAATTCAGGACACTCTTATGAATTTAAAACACCTAAATATATTAAGGACAACCAAATAAATCCAAAACAACCAGAAAGAGGTAGCACTGCTGTAAATTCTTCTTCTTCTTTTTAAATCCAGACACTCATCAATTTCATTGCAGCTGCCTTGGCGTAATTACCCAAATAACATGTCCTGTGTTGAAAGGGGTGATTTGGTGAACGGAGGAAGTCAGAGATGTTGACTTGCACAAAACATCACAAGTCACGTTTCCTTCCCATACCTTATTAGGAGAAGGGTAAGGCTACCATAAGAAAAACAGTGAAAGAGGTTATCTCCCAGATGGTCAATAGTATGGAAAGAGTACAATTTTTTTTTTAAATTTTTTTTTTTGCCAAATCTCTCTCTTCTCCAGTCTATAAAACAAGCAGTTGCCTCTAGTGGAACACAATCATTGTATACTGGGCTGGTCTGCAAAGGTACACTTTTATGCTCACAGCAAAACTGATGAACAAATAACTTGATAAAACTTATCTTTTAGCATTTTCATGACTAATTCTGAGAAACTTCTTTTTGGATACAAAATGTCCCTCAAACTTGCCGTGTACTCAAGCATTTTAGTAAATATGTCCTTATTTTCACAGTTGAGATCCCCTTAGACACTGCACTTTTTAAGGGAATCCTGATTTTTTCCTAATGTCATGGTGAGTCAGGGCTCAAACTAGCATATAGATATCTTTTCTTAGGTAAGTGTATGAAGCTTTAAGCATAAAATTTAAGGAAACTAACCAAGAAACGTGTTATTTTTACAGCTAAAAACTTGAAGACATGTCTTCTCCTCCTACCATTTAACACCTAGTACTGTTTCTTAATCATTATAACTTCACTTGTGACTCAAAGGGAGCTGGTAAGAACTTGGCTATTTTTAAGTAAAATAGCTATTTATTCAGCCTCTTGTCATGCCAAAATGTTTTGTGCATATAACACTATAATTATCACACAAGCAAAATTATACATCAAATTATATTTTGTTACCTGATTATATAAAAATGTAAAGTGAAAATGACTTATCAATCCCTTTTAACATAACTAGTAAACAATCCAGCAGGAGATATGAGGCACAAAATCTTAGTAAAATGACACAGAAAGAGCAATAATGTAATTCTCACTTAAGTTTAACTTGTCATAATTTTTTTATGAATATACAAAGACAAACTTTTAAAATGTTATATTTACTAAGATTCTGGCAAGAGCTTTATGTAACAAGACACAGCATAACAGGCTTGCCATTCAACTTGTATATGGTGAGTCTCAGCTTCAATATGAAGCTGTTACAAACAAGACAAAACAAAACCAAAAACCTGCTTCTCACATGCTAAATATCTTGGCAAGAACGCCATTAAATGCAGTAAGGAATTCAAGATAGCAAGAATAAAAAGTTAATAAAAGCTAAACGTTACAGCCTAAACAAAATTCATACAAAAAATAACTATCACTGGTTACATAAAATTTTCCTGACTGGTTAAAACTTAACAGTATAAAACATGCATCTTAGAATCTTTAGCTATCAAGTTCAAAAAGTACCAGTGTCTACTTGAAATGACTCCTCTCCAAAGCCAAAGTGTAGTCAAAATTAATTCAAATGTTATAACACATTCTAATACTAAAAATCATTCAGTATTATCGAAGTGGAGGTAAATCCCAGAGCTTCCGGGGCTTTCTCGTGCTGCAAAAGGCCATTTCTCTAGTTCACTCAAAGCAGCATACGGCGGAGGCCAAGGATGTTCCTAACCTCAGTAAAGCGCAAGACTGCCGCACCCAGCTCTGACCTTCCCATGAAGCATGGCTACTGTGTCCACAAAAATAGGAATTATGAGGATAAAAGGCACACTATTCTGCTAAAGGAAATAGCAAACCACCCCCATCCCTAAAAGCTCCTTCCCCAGGTAAATAATAAAAGTATACAAGGGGAAAAAAATTAAAATACACTTATCTACAGAGTAAGGATACGGAAATATCAATGCAATCCCTCCTTCAAAAATGTTAACTAGAGTCATCTGGTCATTTCTGTTTACATGTTAATGACGCATCCAGACTCAATTATCTGTTGGTTTATCATTAGATACTTCTAGTCAAAAATATTAACTTTATCCCCACATAACAACCACTAGTATGACTGCAGTGTATAATCTCCCAAAGTCAGTAAGCAATGGAAGAGAAAAAGACAGATGTTCAGGCAGCAGGCAGCTATTTGTGGCCCTTTCACACAGCGGCATTCTGAGGGGCTACTGAACAGTCCAGGAATAATTATAGAAACAACAATATTCATGCATTTTAGTAAATATGTCATTTTCACAGTTAAGATCTCCTCGGACATTGCACTTTATAAGGGAATCCTGATTTTTCCTAATGTCATGGTGAGTCAGGACTCGAACTAGCAGCCTTCTTTTTCTTTTTCTTACTGTGTTTCTTATGCTTCTTTTTCTTTTTTGGTTTTTCCTGTAAAGATAGTTCCATGTTAGACATTTCTACATGAAAACAGCCAAATTAAAAACAACCAGTTTACCATGGTACTTCTGAGCTCCTGCATAGTTATTTCAAGCAATCCACAAAGACAAGTAAGGTCCTCAAAAGGTTTCTTGAAAAGTCTCAATCATCAATATCATGAGGATGAACAGTGCTTATTGATTTTCAAAATGATAAGGAAAAGCTTAAAGTCACTAGCACATTAATGTAGCTTTTAACAAAATTTCATGTAGAAAACAAATTCAACTGAATCATGGCACCAATTGCTGTATCTCATTTATTTAATTTCTGAAGGTAAAATAACTGTAGTTACTGCAAAGGAATCCCTATACTACAGCAAAACAATGACTTTTGCAAAGTGATAGTTTTCAGAGGACAGATACATTAAATCTGCTATTTTTAAGTAAACAGAAACACAGATATTACATACTGCTTAGACAGGGAGCATTTAGTTAACAACTAACTGGTACAAAATACTATGTGTAGTTGGAAAGTCTTCTTAGCTTAGTAAGACAAACACCTCACTGTCAGAGAAAAATGACACTGAAGCCTAGTAAAAGTAGTCCAACTGTCATTGGGCAAAGGGAGCTAGAATTTTACTGATTTCTGAATCTAGCGACTGTTTCAGATACAGAAGAGAAAGCAGAACTTTTAGAACAGATATTTGGAAAGGTGGTATCAAATGATAGACCAGTTGTTGATGTTCAAGGGAAGAAAATAAAAGGCAATAAAGAAGACATAATGGTAGTAAAAGCAAAGTTTCCTATCTACTTCTTTATCTATTAGAGCTTTCTACAGGCCTCCCTCCTCTCTCTAAGGCTTCTACCATTTTGTGGCTCTAAGCTAACTTTCATCATTCTTTTCATTACAAGCCCAAGCCAAACTCTTGTATTTGGGCTTTTAGAGGTAAGTTTTGCATCTAGATTTCTTTTTCATCAAAGGACAGGTGACCACTGTCTCCTTAAAATACTTCTCTTCTTGGCTTCCATGATGACCTCACTCTGCTTTTTTCCTGTCACAAGGAGCTCTTCATGTCCTTCGCTGGTTTGTCCTCTGCTCAACCTCTCAGGGCCTCCTTCCCTTTTCTTGCGCTTGCTCTCCCAGTCACATACTTTAAATGCCACTTACATACCAAATCTTTATATCCAGTCCATCACTCTGAACTTAAGACTGCAAATGCCTCATTAACGCCTCCACCTGTCTATATAATAGGCATATCTAAATTACCATAAAAATGTTTAATTTTTCTCTCTAAATCCTCTTACCCACCTTAGTAAATGGCATCACTAATTTGACATTTTACTTTAGTCAAAGAATATAAGCTATCTTTGACTCTACTTCGTGCTTTAACTCTATTCTTCACATCCAGAGCACCAAGTAAGTTCTACCACTTAAGTCCAGAACACATCTCAAATCCATCACGCCAGTCCCTCTCCATGATCATCACTGTTAATACCAGCACATTCCTCACCTCTGTCCATTCAGCTCCTCTGCCAAAGCATTTTTTTAAAAAAGTAAACTTGAGCCCTGGCTGGTGTGGCTCAGTTGACTGAGTGAAGGCCTGCAAACCAAAGGGTCGCTGGTTCACTTCCCAGTCAGGGCACGTGCCTGGGTTGCAGGCCAGGTCACCAGTAGGGGGAGTGTGAGAGGCAACCACACACTGATGTTTCTCTCCCTTTCTTTCTCCCTCCCTTCCCCTCTCTCTAAAAATAAATAAATATTTTAAAAAATAACTAAAATTAAAAAGTAAAGTTGATTCGGGTCACCTCTTTACTCAAAACCCTCAAAACAGCATTACATTACATTCTGATTAAAACCCAACACTCTGTTATGGTATTTGAGTTCTGCTTGCTTCCCAACCTCACTGTATACTACTTCTCTCTGCCTACTAAGTAAAAGCCAAACTTAACCTCTTTCAGGTCCTCAAACTCATTCCCATATAGATCTTCAGCTCTTCTCTCTGTCTAGATATTCCTCCTTTGACCTTCACATGGTTGACTCTTTCTTGAAAATTGGATTTCTAATTTTACTTCCTCAGAGAGGCTTTCACTCCCTGAAGTCACTCTCTCACATAACAGCCTTTTTTCTTGTGCTCTATTATAACAGATCTATCAAGACCTGAAACAGTGCCTGCACAGAGCTTAATAAACACATACTAGCTAAACGCACAAAACAGTGAAGTACGCAAATACAAACCAGAATTATCCAAAATGGCAATCTTATATTTTAATTAATTAATAAATCTGAGCCAAAGACCAAACAGTCTTCACCCAAATTATTTTTTCCATTCAAAAGTCTTTTAAATGTCACCTTGGACTTGAAGGCATATAAAAGGTTAATTCTGAATCAAATCATACATTATCAAGTGAACCTTCTTATCAGAGAAGAACAGTCATTTTAAGAGCTAGGGAAATTATAAGAATTACCCTCAAATCTACAAATGATGTGGTTCTCATTTTTATTTTACCTCTCCCTAAGAAAATGCCTTTAAAGGCCAAAGTCCATACTGGTACTAAGTTACTTTGCAGATAAGGTCCACATTACTCTTTGATAATCTGTATTCACTTTCTCTAGGTTAGTCTACTTCTCATTTAAATACCACTTCCATTTTCTTTTTCTTCCTCTTCCATCTCCCTTCCTACTTCTCCATCTGCGTAATAGTAGAGCTGGCTTTAGCAATGATCAAAAGAATAATCTTTATTAGTAAAATCATTTATGTTGTCATATTCCAGCTTATTATTCACTGCAGCTTGTGTTTAGAGAGGCTTTTTCTGTTCAGACCAGGTGTGGATGATCTGGAAGTAACTACTATTGAAGATAGAGGGAATCATCATACCTTAATATCCTATTTCATATTACACCTTAGGAAAAGTCAAGCAAAAGTTTGACCTTATATTTCTAACAGTAAAATACTGAAATGGAAACAGAACATGTTTGCTACCAGGGAATTCTTCTTTTTTCCTGAGCCGGTTTTTCTCCAGCCCATTAAGTGAAACTGCCAAACATCAGAGTAAATATTTTCCTAGTCAATGCAATCACTTTTTTTTTTAACCCATGACTCATTTTATATTAAATAAAAATAGCTACACTGTTGTCATGTAGAAACATAAATGATACTTGCTGTTGCTTTCTCTCTGTCTTCACTGCTTTTCTTCTTTTTTGCTCGTACCTAAAAAATTTAAGTTTGGTGGAGAACAGAAGACAAATATGTAATTTGCACTTACGGCATTTCTTTTCATTCCCTAATATACTTTGTATCTTTAAAATTTATACGTAAAAACACTTTGACAGCCAAAAAAATTTTTAAGTGCCTTGTTTACCGTAAACCTGTTACATCACAATGAGAATTAAATAAAAAACATTTAAAGGAGGGAAATTAATATTTTAAATCTCTAAAGGGCTTCTCTTATATTCCCTTTCAGCACCCTAAGAAAAGCAGTGAGGTCCAATGGATAAAAAACATGAGCTATGAAACCAACCAACCAACCAAGCTCTGAATCCTACCTCTGTTATGTGTTACCCTCAGTTTCATCACCTGTACAATGGCAGGGGAAGTGCCTGGAATAAAGTGGGTATTTCTCTAACTCTGCGGTGTTCAATAAATAATAGCTATACATATAATGTACTCGGTATAAACCAAATGATTAAATCCAAAGTTGGTAAAGCTTATGTGTATTTAATGTTAACTCCAAATGTAACATATTTTATATTAAGGCAAGTGGTCTAGAGAGCACTTAGGAAATTATTTTTTGTTATCCTTGGCACAACAATGACTGGAGTGGTAGTGGCTCTGTTGCATACACACTTGCAGGCCAAGACAGAAGATGCGGTCGCGCGATATTCCCGACAGCCCTGACATGACTTCTAAGTAGCCCACTAGACATTTATAATACAGAAGCTAAATTTACTGTACTAGGAACATGAAGTATTTTGTACAGGGTTTTAAGATATACTCAATAATTTACATACTGAAATATAATTTAATAAAAATTATGCTTTTTATTTTTTCTATTTTTATCAGGGGTAGTAATATAAAATATAATATAATATTGTGTAGGTTTTATATTTATAAATGTGTATTTATATAAAAGCTACAAGTTCATTTCAGGGGCATTACAAAATAGTACTATGTAATGACAGCAATAGGCCCTATTTTAAAACAAGGAAACCAATTCCAGGAAATACTTTAACAAACGATAACTTACAGGCCTAAAACTAAGTAAGAATGGATTCTAAATCCAACAGAGCACAAAATCTAAGACAGAGATAACAGAGATGAAAAGGACTGTACAGATGATCTCATCCTATTCCTTCACTGTTTAGATAGAAAAACTGAGTTCTCGCCAACATTACCACTCAGCCTCCTCGTCTCTCTACTCCCCAAATAGGAGTTCCAAACAAAAAACAGGAAATCTTTGGTTTTAATACACTATACGTCATACAGCATCTTTCAGGTAGTCAAAATAATAGTATAATAAAAAGAAAATACTAGAAGATTGCTGGAGGGTGGGGAGTATGAAGGGGTTAAATGGTAATGAAAAAATACAATAAAGATTAAAAAATTTATAAAAGAGAGTATTAGAAGAGTAAAAATAATACACTTATTCAGATTGGAAAGTTATGTGGGAATATGGCTAATTATCAAAATAATACCAATATAATTATCTTATGAAAAATACAACTTATTCTGAAATGGAACAACTTCCTTTCCTTTTCATAGTACATACTAGAAAAGTAAATCCAATACTTATAAAGTATCTCTTTTTCAATTAACGTTTATTTAAATTAAATAACTGAACATTTCAAGGTAAAGAAAACAGGTCTCATCATATACGTACCTCCTCAATATAATCTGATTCTGATAAGGACTCAGATGATAAAGGTTTATCTTCAGGATACATCTTTCTCTTTTTGCTCAGTCCTTTAATGTCCTATTTAAAAAAAAAAATACACGTATCATGACTCAAAAAGATACAGTACTATACCACATGAATTTTTTTCCCACATTCTATCAACATTTCTTTTTAAAGATTTTTATTTATTTATCTTCAGAGAGAGAGGGGAAGGGAAGGAGAAAGAAAGGGAGAGAAACATCAATGTGTGGTTGCATCTCGCATGCCCCCTACTGGGGACCTGGCCCGCAACCCAGGCATATGCACTGACTGGGAATCAAACCAGCAACTCTTTGGTTCCCAGGCTGGCATGCAATCCACTGAGCCACACCAGCCAGGGCTCTATCAACATTAAAATAAAATTTATTTATTATTTATTTTTAGAGAAAGGGGAAGGGTGAAAGAGGGGGAGAAACACCAAGTGGCTGCCTCTTGCATGGCCCAACCAGGGACCTGGACTGAAACCCACGTGTATGCCCCAACCTGGAAATGAACTAGTGACCTTTTGGGCGCTTTTGCACTTCCGGCTAAGATGGAGGTATAGGTAGAGACACTTTGCCTCCTTGCACAACCAAAAGGACAACAACAAATTTCAAAACAAAAAATAAGTAGAATGGCCAGAAAATCAAACTGTATGGAAGTCCAGCAACCAAGGAGCTAAAGAAGAAACATTCATCCAGACTGGTAATAGGGGGCGGGGAGGGGTAGCTGGAGTGGAGAGGACACACAGCAAGGCGGCTGCTTGAGGGCCAGGCAGGCAAGGAGGTGGCTGGCAGACCAAGCGGTCCCACATTTGCGTGTGGATAAACCGGAGGAACAGCTGTGGAGTGAGACAGACTGCACAATCCAGGGTTCTAGTGTGGGAAAAGAAAGCCTCAGAACCTCTGGAGGTAAAACCTGTGGGGGTTGCTGGGGCAGAAGAAACTCCCAGCCTCACAGGAGAGCCCATCGGAGAGACCCAGGTGGTCCAAGATCATATACAAACCCGGGAATCAGCACCAGAAGGACCCAATTTTCTTGTGGGTGGCAGGGGAAATGACTGAAAGCTCAGCAAAGCAGTGTTCCTTCTCGGACCCCTCCCCCACACACAGCCTCACAGCACAGCAACCAGGGTTGCCCCACCCTGGTGAATACCTAAGGCTCTGCACCTTCCAAGGTAACAGGTGAGCTGAGACACAGAAATAGGGGCCAAATGGAACAACAGGTCAAAGCTCCAAAAACAGAACTATGCCACAAAGAGATAGCCAACCTATCAGATGCACAGTTCAAAACACTAATCTGGGTGCTCACTGGATTGGTTGAGTATGGTCACAAAATGGAGGAAAAAGTGAAGGCTTCGCAAAGTGAAATAAAGAAAAATATACAGGAAACCAACAGTGCAGGGAAGGAAACCAGGACTCATACCAGCAATTGGGAGCAGAAGGAAGAGATAAACATTCAACCAGAACAGAATGAAGAAACAAGGATTCAAAAAATGAGGCGAGTCTTAGGAACCTGTGGGACAACTTTAAACGTTCCAACATCCAAATCATAGGGGTGCCAGAATGAGAAGAGGAAGAGCAAGAAATTGAAAACTTAGTTGAAAAAACAATGAAGGAGAACTTCCCCAATCTGGCAAAGGAAACAGACTGCCAGGAGATCCAACAAGTTCAGAGTCCCAAAGAAGTTGGACCCAAGGAAGCACACACCAAGGCACCTCATAATTATATTACTCAAGATTAAAGATAAGGAGAGAATCTTAAAAGCAGTAAGAGAAAGGAGACAAGTTACCTACAAAGGAGTTCCCATAAGACTATCAGCTGATTTCTCAAAAGAAATCAAGCAACAGGGCTGGCAAGGAGTATTCAAAGTCATGAAACACAAGGACCTACAACCTAGATTCCTCTATCCAGCAAAGCTATCATTTAGAATGGAAGGGCAGATAAAGTGCTTCCCAGATAAGGTCAAATTACAGGAGTTCATCGTCACCAAGGCTTATTATATAAAATGCCAAAGGGATTTATCTAAGAAAAAGATGATGATCAAAAACTATGAACAGTAAAATGACAACAAACTCACAACTACCAACAACTGAACCAAAAAAACAAAAACAAAAACAAATTAAGCAAACAACTAGAATAGGAAAAGAATCACAGAAATGTCAGAGGGAACAGCAAAGAATGGGGGAAACGGTACAGGGATAAGTAGCATAAATAGTAGGTACAAAATAGGTAGGAGGAGCTTAAGAATAGCATAGGAAATGAAGAAGCCAAAGAACTTACACATTCGACCCATGGACATGAACTAAGGAGGGAAATGCTGAGGAGAGGGGTGGTGAAAGTCGAGGGGAATAAAGCAGAGAGAAAAAAAAGAAAAAGAACTGGTGACCTTTTGTTTTGCAGGACTATGCCCAACCATCTGAGTCACACCAGTCAGGGCTCCTTTAACAATTCTTAAAAATATTATAAAAATTATCCATTTCCATTTTTAGAGATATTTAATTTTGGTGACATTTACCAGGATTCAGTCTTTAATTCCAATAAAGTAATACCTTTATTAAATAACCTGAAAAGAAATAACCACATATCCCTATAGATACACTATCATCCTTAGGATTTTAAAAAGTTAAAAGGAACCATATAGATGGTATATGGCTTATCCTTTGCATTCTAATTCTTGTTTCTACCCAATATTGGATCAGACAGGCCTAGTGCTGCAGAAAAGAAAAATCAAAGGGTAATTATTTGTGATGATCTAAAAGGATCTGTACACAGTAATTCCTTCAGTGCATTAAGTATTAAATTCATATTAAAAAAATCTCTATTTTTAATAATGAAAAAATGTCTGACTCTAGGGAAGGAGACGGTCTCAGAGTGACAATGGCAGAGAGAGTATTTAGGGATTTACATTTTAAGAAATAAAAAATGTTAAGATTTATTAAAGCTTCATAGTGGACACAGGAACCTATCTCTATCAGTGTGGGAGCTGGCACTGTTGTGAGAGGCTGCATCGGTTTCAGTGAGTTTTTTTTGAAGACTCAATGCATCTGCCCATTTCATGATAGATGATTTATTTATGAGTGCACCTGCCTACACTGCACTGAGCGTTCAGCAGTTTTTGACAAAAATGGCAGGACCCCCATGCCCAATCCTCCCTATTCATGTGATCCCGCCAGAGTGACTTTTTTTGTTTCTCTGGATGAAAAAGTCACCCAAGGGAAACGTTTTACCGATGTGGAAGAGGTGAAAAAAAAAATGGCAGAAACACTAGTTCGTCAAAATTGACAAATTAAAAAACTGAGCAGTGGAAAAAAGTCTTGGTAGGTATATTGTATCAAATGGAGAGTACTTTGTAGGTGAGTGAAGTTTTAAACAGGTATGAATAAGTATATAATGTTTTATAAATAAATTTCAGTGTTTTTTGGGTCCCCCCTCACGCATGCTACAACTTGATATGAACCTTGAAAACATTAAACTAAATGGAAAATAGCCAGAACAAAAGGTGACATACTGTAGGATTGCTTTTATACGATATATCCAGAACATGCAAATCCAGAAAGAAAGCAAGCAGGTTAGAGGGTACCTAGGGATGGCAAGAAGGGACAATGGGAACTGATTACTTAACAGGTTGTTTTAAACAGGATGATGAAAAAGTTTTGGAACTACAGGGAGGCAGTTGTTGTACAACACTGTATATACACTAAATCCCATCAAATTGTAACTTTAAGATGATTAATAGATTATGTGATTTTCACCTCCATTTTTAAAAATAATATAAAAAGATAGTAAAATATAGTGACACTAGTTCATAGTTTTATTAGTAATTGCTTTATTTTTAATAATTAGAATAAGATTTTAAAATGTAAATCAGAAACATGGGCAGAGATAAATTTAGCATTAATTATAGCTAAATCACAGGATAAAATATCTACTTAACAGCAGTAAAAGTTTTTTTCAAAATCTATCCATGGTATACTGAATTTGAACCAGAAGACTGTGTTCTTTAATTAAAAGTGCCTCCTCTTAAAATGACTTGAGGAAACAAAAGAAATGTTTAATCTCCATTACTTTGAATTTTTATCTGAGATAATGCATTAAACTACACGAATTCAAACTTTCTGCAGGAATACTCCTTTGCCTTTTACCTTCAATAATGAATTCCTTAAATCAAACAAAATGCCATAAAAGCAAATAAATCAATCTCAAGTTAAAAAGGAGAACACATTATTGTTTCTTTCTTGAAGTGAATGAAGTATTGTATGACTCTTAAGGCAATATAAAATTATAATTACCTTTTCTTTCTCAGTTGAATCCTTTGACTTCTTTTTCTTTTTCAAGCTATCCTAAACAAATATATGTATGTATCAGTTTTAAATGTAAAAGATACAGCATAATACTATAAAGACAAAAATATCAAAAAAGGTGATTTGTTTTCTGAGAAAAGTTTACTTCAATATCAGAATTTTATTTTAAAAATACAGAAGAAATGTATGTTGTGTATACATATATACTTGTAAGAAAATGAGGCTTCTTATCTGACTGTATATCAAATCTATGTGTACCTAAAATGACATCATCTGTAATAACTACCCAACCTGTCTTAATATGACTTTATGCCACTACCTATTTTTGCCTGTGGTGGTCATAAGCACTGGTGTTCAACTCCCTCTGAGCTCAGACATCCACCAATGTGATTTCCCTACTCTCCTTTTAAGGAGGGGAGGTAAGAATTTTTGCTTTTGTCTCCCTCAGTTCTAGCTATTAACATCCCTGAGCCTTTCACATCCATAAAGTGGGGGTAATAAGTAACTACTTCATACGGTTGTTAAGAGAACTGAGTTAATATGTCAAGTGCTTAGAACTGTGCATAACATGTAGTAGGCATTCAATAAATGTTAGCTATCAGAATCATTAGACTGGCTCTTCTGCTTTAACAAAAAATGAAAAAAACCCAACATTTACTGAGTATTTCCTAGACACTAGGCATTTTGTCAGGAAGAAATCTCACTAGGGGAGTAGATATCTGCCCCACAACAAGACAGTTGCTTTGTTCTCCTGGGACCTTCGGACATTCGTTTGTTCAATTGTGGTCCATGGACATCCCTGTGTCAGAATCACTGACTCTATCTGTTAAGAATGCAGACTTTTGAGCCTAATCAGGCTCTGAAAATGATGCCCGAGAATCTTCATTTTTATTGCAACGTGCATATATTTCTTATGATCACTTATATTTGAGAGTAAATGGTGCCAGACAATTCTGGGTAGTACAGAACAGAGTTAGGCATAGTAGTAAAGACACTGGACCAGCTAATAGAAGACAGATTTCAACTCCAAATTCTAGTACTAGCTGTATAAATTTAAGTAAGATTTTTTTTTTCTCTGAACTATGGCTGCTTTATGAAAATAGAAAAAAAAATGTCTGCCAGACTTATCATAAAGCTGTTATGGAAATGTTGACAGAGACATATGTGTGAAAGTGTTTAGAGAACAATTAAATGCAACATGTAGGACATTAAGTGGCACAAAACATCACAGTATATAAAAAACAGTATCTCATTTTTAAACTGAGAGCAATTTAAGATAGGAAAAACCTAATTACATGTTTTTGCTATCCAAAGTGTTGCTAATTTAAATTTTTTTACCTTACTATCTGATTCAGTCTCTGACAGAGAGCTCCCAGAAGATTTATGTGAACGGTTCTTCTTTTTCTTTTTCCTTTTTCCTTGTTTCTTATCCTATGTAAAACATTTTTAGAAACATTTGCTTTCTGTTTCAAAAATATAATTGCTGCATTTTTATTAATATCAAATCTTTTATCAACAAACAAAAGTTAACCAAAGGACCAGCTAATAAACATGTTTCACTTAATATTTTAAATGTAACATATCGCTTTTCTTGTTTAATAAAAAAATAAAAAGTCAAGTGATTTGAGTCCCACATAGTTCCTAGCAACTAGTCAAATAGCATTTTAGATTTTTCAAAGCCATTTCTTCTAGATATTTTTAAATGAACAAGACAAATTCAGAAGCCTAAAAAATAGATAAACCAATATTTAACTATTTAGGTATTTATTTGTATCAGTGCTCTCAGCTATAGATAACTAATAAAAAACTGGAAGTAAACATTTTTAACTGGTATTTCCTAAAGAAATTACATGTATTTCATGTATCGTTAAAGGCAAACCTTACCTCGTCTTCAGAATCTGAAGAACTGCTGGAAGAATCAGAGCTTGATGAAGAAGAGGATGAATACTTGACCAAGCACAAAACAATTAAAGCTTGTGAGATGCAGGAATTTTTCCTTTACTAGATCTCTCAAATACTTAACAAAATCAATCTTGGGTCTTGAAAGAGGTACCATCTTCATAAGACTTAAATATTAAAATGTCAACTGTTACATTTCCTCACCTCTCCCCCCGCAAAAAAAAAAAAGGAAAAAAAAAGAAGAAAAAAAAGGGTCAACGAAGTAATGGCAGTCAATTTCCCTCTCTAATAGCAATGCAGCAGTTACTAGGTTATAAAAGGAGGTTGGCACCTGTCTTTTATATCAGAAATAAATATACACCCAACATAACCACCCAACAACTACCAAAGGACCCCTGGGCTCTTTGACCTATCTAGATTTAGCAAACATGCTACATAAATGATTCTTTCTTTTCTGGCAGGCTCTTAATTGTAACATTTAGAAAAATGGGAAAGTTTTACTCACCCTACCAGATTTCTTCTTTTCTTTTTTCTTTCTCTAACAGCAAACAAACAAAAAAAAAGTACAAATCTAAGTAAGCAGATGTGAATTTTGAAATATATATTAATAATAGTACAAAGGAGTATTATAAAAACCCAACTGTGAGATTAAGGATAGCAGTAAAGTAAAAATAGTATTACCTGTCTTTTTTTGGATGAGCTCTCACTTCCACTTAATAATTTCTCCCTGTGTTTTTCTAGTTCTTTCTTCCAGTTCTGCAAAAAGGTTATAAACACCATGAAAGGACATCTATCCCCTTCCAATACACCTAATATAAGAGTATAAGACAACCATTGTTTCCTTTCTTCCATCCTCTCATCCATCCCAGCCTCAAAACACAAAATATATTCCAAGTGCTGGAATCCTCTACTCTATCACCAAAAGAACCTCTACCAGCTCTTTTCAAAGAGGATAATAAGGGGATGAGAATTCTCCACTGTATATCCTGTATATTGAGAGTAGGTACTATTATCAAAATCACAACTAAAATATACAACAACCATCACTCAGAACCATCACAAACATGCAAGTCCAGGAAGCACAGGGAGTCCCAAACAAGATGGAATCAAAGATGCCTACTCCAAGACACATCATAATTACAATGCCAAAGGTTAAAGATAAAAGAGAATCTTAAAAGCAGCAAGAGAAAAGCAGTTAGTTACCTACAGGGGAGTTCCCATAAAACTGCCAGCTGATTTCTCAAAAGAAACTTTGCAGGCTAGAAGAGGTTGGCAAGAAATATTGAAGTCACGAAAAGCAGGGACCTACAGCCAATACTGCTCTACCCAACAAAGATGTCATTTAGAATCAAAGGGCAGATAAAGAGCTTTCCAGACAAGAAAAAACTAAGGGAGTTAATCATCACCAAACCATTATTTCATGAAATGTTAAGGGACTTACTTAAGAAATAGAAGATCAAAACTATGAATAATAAGATGGCAAAAATACGTATCAATAATTGAATCTAAAAAACAAAGCAAACAAGAACAGAGACAGATTCATGGAAACAGAGAGTGTTTTGATGGTTGCCAGATAGGAGGGGGGTGTACTGCCAGAGTGGAGCGGGGAGCGGGGGGGGGGGGGGGGAGAGACGTTCTGGGGGTGTAACTGGGGGAAGGGGTGAAATGGTCAGGGGATTAAGAAGTACGAATAGGTAGTTACAGAATAGCCATGAGGATATAAAGAACGGTAGAGAGAACATAGTAGCCAAAGGCCTTATATGCAGGAGCCATGGAATGAACAGTGGTGTGGGAACTGCCTGAGGGAGTGCAGGGTGCTGAGTAGAGGGGGGCAAAGGGGGAAAATCTGGACAACTGTAATAGCATAATCAATAAACTATAATTTTTTTAATAAAAAGAGAGTATTATTACTGAGGCTGAGGAATTTTTTTCTAACATAGATGGTTAGATTCTCTTTTCCAAACAGTGTAAGTTAAATTAATCTATACTATGGCTGAAATAGTGCATATATGTTCATCATCAAAAACAAGCAAATACCACTATAGAAATCTCAGGGTAAAATGGTGACGGGGGATGGGAGATAAGGTAAAGAACCTAACATTTAGAAAACTTCCAGATGATATAAATTATTCTAAGGTGATTTTTCTCCATTTTTTAAAATCATGTATTTACATACAAACCTGTACTCAATTTAACAAAAACACCTATAAAATACAGACCCCTTTAACCTAAGGAGCTAAGCCCAAATCTTGATTTATTAAACAGTTATTTCATTCTTCCTATAATAAGTATTAAGTCTTTTTTTTTAAAAGGTACTATTTACAAACCTCATTCATTTTTTCTTCAAATTCAGCCAAAGCCTTGGAGCCTTTCTTTTTCTTTTCTAGTTGTTCTTTCACTTCTTCCCTTAAAAAGTAAAATGTAAAAAATGTTTTCAAGCAATCCAAATTAGAGATGGATGCTTACAAACAATACAATAAAATTTCATAAGCAAATTCTTCAATATTCTAGTAAACCTCCATTCCAGTGTTGATACATTTCAAATTTGTGTTCACATCATTGTAAATCAATGATCATAATAAAGCCTAGCAGATAACACTAATCATTCCCTTTCTAAACCTGGATTATAAATGCTAATAGAGGAAACATAAGAGCACATACATCCTACGGGCACTGTTTTAAATACATTTTCCTTTAACCCTCACCACAATCCTGAGAAAAAGTAGTATTACTTTACAGATAAAAGCTGTAGCTTGGGGAAGGTAAGAAAACTGCCTAAAGTGATAAAGTCTTAGTAACAAAAGTGTATTTCCCTAGACTACTATATTCTACTACTAAATCACCCACCTTGTAATGTATCTCACACATGAGCAGAAGAGAGAACACAGCGCCCCTGACTTTATTCTTAGAGAGGCCTGCTTACAAGACTGGCCCTGGCTGTTTCTGGGAACTTGGGATTTAACAGTCCTTACTAATCTCTGATAAGAGTGGTTCACTGTGCCTACTTGTACAAACATTATAGTTTAGGCTGAACATATACACTCCTTCTGAGAGCTTGAATTTTGGTACCTAATAGGTAGAGGCTGGCCAGTCCCAAGAAAAAACCCTGGGCACAGACTCTCTATGAACTCCCCTGGATGGCAACATCTCACATGTGTTATCACAACTCATGTGAAGGGAATTAAATGCATCCTGTGTGACTGCACAGGAGAGGAAGCCTTGGAAGCCAGCACCCAGCCTCCCTGAGACTCCACCCATGTGCATTTTCTCTGTGAACTGTGGCTGGTATCCTTTCACTGCAATAAACCTTATCCATGAGTACAACTACCTGTAAGACCTGGTAAATTACTTAACCTCAGAGTTTTCTTGGGGACCACTCACACACATGTAATATACTTACTTGAGCACATCCCCTATAAAGTTCATTCCTTCTCCTCAATTTTAAAGACAAAATATACTTTGTTTTGGAATAACTTATTTTCTGGTATGCTGCAACAGTCAACAATAGCACTCATGGCCACTGTTAGAGGCGGACAAGCTTACTTCCTATTTAAGTCAAAGGAAGGGTTCTATTGTGTGTAAGCACAACTTTCAACTACCGCTGCCCAGCTTTCAGAGGCACTTAGGAGCCGTCTGAAACTCAACTCTGAAACTTGTCATATGTTACCTCAGGAGTACGATATTTAATAATAAGAAAGAGAATAAGGCCAGTGCTATGAGCTTCATTTACAAAAGATCAGCACCATCCAACAAGAGCAAAAAACATTAACTTAAAACAAAAAGCTAAGAATGGGGAATCCTAACACTGAAAAACCAGCAGATAAAACTAGAAACACGACCTAACATTATCTTTCCTAACACCTAGTTACACCTCAGCAAAGGATGTGATTACTCAAATCTACCATTTCTAAACAGAACAGAACAATGCAAGGTTAAGTTCATTTTTAGGGGATAGAGAAGAGACTGGTATGAAAAGGATACCTGGTAGTGCATTAGCTATTCTGGGTGTTGGGTTCTCAAATGTTCGCTCTATACTCATGCATGTTTCATACATTCGAAAAACACACATCAAATATTACTTCAAAAATTACATATCTGGCAACTGCTTTGCAATCAATAAAATTTGTAATAGTAACCTTTTAAAAATTTATGAGGACTTTATAAATAGGTAAAGTATTTCACAAATACCAGGTAGGCCTTGGTCGATTCAGATAATCTTGGATCGTTGGCCCTGAAGACTGGACTGGACCCCTTGATCTGGCCATTGCTATTGGGTTCATATAGGCCTTGAGGAAAGAACAAAAATTTACTCCATTAAAATAACCATTAGAAACTCAAAAGCTCACTTACTTATCAATTTTTATTAAATAAGTGCATAATATGTCCAAGCAAGCATGAACAATCTGACTAATCAAGTTTTCATTACAAAAAATAAATTTACTGCTCATTATTAAGCGTCTCAAGTTTGGGAGATGAATAACATTGTGCTTTCATGAAAAATGTGTTTTTACAAGAGATCTGATGAAAACAGTAATGACACCTCTTTCTTACTGTGAGGCGGCTTTACACTGCCACCTAAATCCCAGTGACCCCGTGAGGGTGATGACACTGCTCTCCAGCAAATGAAACTCAGTTCCAAAGACGGTCAAGATGATCTGACTCGAAACTCACTGCTTAGTCTACTAAATCTTTTATCTCAGGAAGTATTGTGCCATATAAAATACAATTTTATTTACAAATCGTTATCAAAAATTAAATTATACACAGGAAGGAAAAGAAAAAATAGGGCTTCTTCAAGATTGATGCACACAACAATGTGCACTGTCAAGGGAGTGGAAACACAATCCCCAGAATGGGAAAATGTATTTTCAAGTCATATATATGATAATGGATTAATATCCCAAATGAATAAAGAAATCTTACAATAAAAAACCCAAACAACTCAATTTTAAAACACACAAAGGATCTGAACAAACATGTCTCCAAAGAAGATATACAAATGTTCAATAAGTATAGCATGAAAAGATGTTTAACATCGCTAGTCATTAGGGAAGTGGAATCAAAATTACAATATGTCACCTCATCATACCCATCAGGATGGCTATTATCAAACACATAGAAAATAACAAGTGTTGTCAAGGACACAGAAAATGGAACCCTTTGAAACTGCTGGTGGGAATATAAAATGGTGCAGCTCTTGTGGATAAGTTTGGTGGTTCCAAAGACAGTTAAACATAATTACCATATGACCTGGCAATTCCACCTCTAAATGGGAACAGAAAAAGAACTGAAAGCAGGGACTCAAACATACTTTATACCACACTCATGGCAGCATTATTCACAATAGCCAAAAGGTAGAAACAATTCAAGTGTCCATCTACAGAAGAATGGATAAATAAAATGTGGTATATACGAGAGTATATACAGTGGAATGTTACCCGGCCTCAGAAAGGAATGTAATTGCTACATGCTACAATGCAGATAAACCCTAGTAACATGCCAAGTGAAATGCAGCAGACACAAAAGGACAGATATTGCATGAATTCCACTCACATGAAATACCTACAACAAGCAAATTCATAGCAACAGAAAGTAAGTAGAGGTTACTAGGAATTGGGGTGGAGAGGCGATTGGGAGTTTGGAAAGGTACAAAGCTTCTCGTTTGGAATTATGGGAGAGTTCTGGAAATGGCCCTGGCAGGATGGCTCAGTTGGTGGGAGCGTCATCCCTGCACAATTGAAAGGATAGGGTCCAATGCCCAGCCAAGGCACATGCCTAGCTTGAGAATTTGATCCCCAGTTGCAGTGTGTATGGCAGGCAAAAAATCTGTGTTTCTCTCTCTCTCCAAAATTGATAAACATACCTTTGGGTGAGGATAAAAAAAAAGTTCTGGAAATGGATATTGTGATAGGTGTACAACACTGAGAAAGTACTTAATGCCACTGAATTATACACCTAAAAATGTTTAAAACAGTGAACTTTATTTTTATTTTAGCTCAATAAAAAAATTTATAAAAAATTAAATTATGCTCTGTATACTGTACTCACTATTGCAGAACACATTTTTGGACACATTTTTCAAAGACATACTGAGACAAAATAAAGCAGGTTTTTAAAATTACAGTGTTTAGCAAAGAGATATTGTTTTATTAAAGTTGACTTTGTTCTTGGTATAAAATCTGTTATTAATTCAGTCTCCACCTCTTGGTCCATACGTTCAGTTTTCCAAATTTAACTCAAGTCAACAAAAGTTTATAAAAGCTCTTCTATTTTTAAATAAAAAGATTTTTGGTTGAAAGTGACTATTTTCAAGGTTGATTTTAAGGCCTTAAACCTAATACATAACATCCCAAAAGAAATGAAAGGAGACAACATATTTGTTGCATTTACTTAACAAAACTTGTAAAAATGACCAATATTTTCCACCTTCATAACAGTAGTTATATATTTCTAGATTTCTCTGCCAGAGTAAATAGTATAAAACCACTATAAACAACAGACTGAGAACTGTTTCCATTCGACTGGACACTGCCTGATTACTTGAGATGAAAAAGTTAAACCTTCACCATACTGTCCTTACAGGCACAAATGAATGCTCCTATTGTCAGAGATGTTACAGAGTAAGGGCTAAATGTGGATATCAAATGTAACATTAAAGACAGTGCCATATAGTATTTTTGATATCAACTGTTATGCCCTCAAATATTTCATTCAACTGCCTTTGCTTAGGATTTCAGTTTGTGTGGAAATATGACAACCAAAAGCGGCTGCAATCGTGGAATTAATGGCCCTGTTAATGACACAGACAACCCTAACCAGAAGCAAGTACAATGTGTAAGTTAAGTTCATCATTTTAAAACAGGGGTATCACGTCATAATTTTAGCAGTACCCAATGGTAAAATATTTTAAGTTTAAAACTAAAAACTGTTTATTTCCAAAGAATGAAAATATACACAAGGATGTTCAAAACTAAATTACTAAAATAGGCAAAAATAAAAATACACAACCAGCTACCAAAGTAAGATTCATTAAGTATATTAAAGTATAACCCAAAATAAAATACTATGTAGCCATTAAAAAGAAACAGATCTATAGTGAGATAAAAAGATGTTCATGATTTCTCAAGGGAAAAGCAAAACCAAGTTGCCCTAAAATAAGATACCATATTGATATATAGCTATCTAATTTTAAAAACCTACATGCATATGCACCAAAATGTAAAGGGAGGTATCCACTTTTCATCATTTCATACACTGGAGAAATTAAAAAAAAAATCACCTTTACAAAAGAAAAACAAAACCAAACAATTTGCACACAAACATTATCATAATATTAATGGTAAACAAATGTGAAAAATTCAATCACAATACTGCCACTGCAATTCAGAGAGCCACTGTCTTCAAGTGAAAATTCACAGAGTGCAATGGTAATTTTTCATTCTAATTTTAACAAATTGTAACACATTTACCATGTTTTACAGTCTTCAATTTACCTTGAAAGTACATTAGCATTTGGCTGTCTTAATATCTACTGTGAAACTGGTTTCCCAAAGTACATACCAACTTATCTTGCTTATTTTTCACATGAAAATAGAACAGTAGAGTACTATATTCACATGCTAGGACTATTATATACAATTTATTGTAAAATTACATCAGATTATCATGTAATAAATTTAACTTTCAAACTTCTGACCACAAATACTACCCTCAGTGTGCTTCAGTATACTCCAAATATCTCCATTATTTATTTCAGTTATTTAATAAATGCATCTAAAGTGCTAGACTCCTTGCAAAACACTTGATAGCTTGTCCTCGTAATTGTTAGGCAGCAATGCTTGTACTATGTACAACAGAAAGTTAAAAAAAACCTATCTTACAAAGGTAAAGCTTTTTCACTTACTGCACATCAGTGTGAAAAACATTAAGGGAGTGAGCCGTTAGGAATCAGTTAAAGAAACTGTGCAATTTCTAGGAACATCTATCACTTAATCACTTTAAATACTGTCAAATGCTCATTTTCATATTAACTAGAATTGTCTGTGGCTTCAAACTTCTGCATGAGTTTGAGTAATAGAAAATTTGTTTTTTAAAATCAGGGTAGCAAACTGGGCTCAAAGGAATGTAAGTGGGCAGGTTGGAAAGAACAATGCAGTAAAACTGCTAAGGACAAAATGTGCAGAACTTCGTTTGCTACTTTGATTACCTATTTTTATCTAGACTCTAGGATACATCTATTTCGAGAGCACAAAGTAACAGAAAAAAACATGAAAGAAGCTTTTGGAAAACAATGGGCACAAAGGGTGACCATGATTTTAAGGGACCTTCACAAATCTAGAGATTTAAAATGTTCAGTTAAAAACCAACCAACCAACCAACCAATCAACCTGTTCAAGAATGCTCAATACCAAAGTGAACCCTAATGAAACCCTGGATTTTGGGTGAAAATGGTCTATCAATGTGGGTTCATCAACTGTAACTGTACCATTCTGCAGCAGGATGTGGATAATGGAGAGGCTGTGTACATGTCGGGGCAGGGAGTGCATGGGAACTCTACTTCTTGCTCAATCTTGCTGTGAACCTAAAACTGCTCTAAAATAGTCATAAAAAAAAAAAAAAAAGCAACTTGACCCGAAATTTAATGTCTTTTTAAAAAGCAACTGTCATCTTTAAAACTATAATTTCATCAAGGTAAGAAAAAAATGCCAATATGTTCTTTTTGTTATTGACAGTCAAGAATTATGATGTAGTGAACTAAGTGCAGGTAAACCAAATCTGGGTCCCAGTTTTAACAGTTCCATCTCCTCCCTCATACAATGGGGAAACGGAATTTGACAAACTGTATCCTACCTCCTATTTTTCTGTTTTCATTCTCACAACCCTTTTAGCGCGAACAGTATGTCACTGGAACACTCTGTGCCAAGACACCATACCGAATAATTAGAGCCCCGAGTTATCAAAATGCTCCAGGGTAAACAAAGCTCACTTGAAAAGTTTTTCAAATGTTTTAAGGGGATGCTTTAAATTAACACTCTTCTCCAATTAAACAAAACATCTCAGGCCTTTGTATGAAACTGCACCTAAGGCCTGATAATTTCTAAAGCCCAATCACATTAAAGAGCCAAAACATTCTTAACATTTCAAGCCTAAGAATGTCCCAACAGAACACGTTTTCAACTCTGAGAATCAGAAACCACAACAAGCTCTGACGCACGGCCACGGAAGCAGGAGAAAAGAACATTCCTTAACCTTGTAATCAAGGTTCACTACAGTTGTTCCTAGACAGCTCTGACTTATGAAGACTACGTAAAATTAAAACGAATGTTTTGAAGATGTAAAATGTCATCATTTCATAAAATCAAAGATAATTTAGCACTCTTCACCCCCCAAAAATGAGCAAAGGAAATAATCGTCAAGAAAAAGCTAGTTCATTCAATTGCATTTGTTCATTGTGCTGCTCGGTGGTCAAAACTCACAACAGGTAAACCCAGAACTGTGAGGCTGCCACCTAAGTTAACTGCTAATCTTTTAAGTTTATGGCCCATCCAACTGATGCATAACCTGGGTTTTCCAAACCAACCTACCGAGTAGTCATCTCCCATCTCCACTTGTCGAAAGTCCCTTCTCTTTCGAATGCCCTCAGTACCTCAAATCTCTATCAGATACCACTTTTTACTCTATTATTTATGTATCTCCTTTATCTCACTTACCAGAATAGTAACAACTTTCAAGCCAAGCACTCGTCTGCACATCTTCCTTTCTGTGTCTCAACTAGGTTGAGGATAACACTGATCTTTTACAGAAGAAACTGAGGCTCAGGGAAAGGCAACTCCCGAGGGACCAAAACTGACATCCCAAACAGTCAACGTTCCAAGCTGACCCCAAAGTCAACTATTTTCATGCCATTCATTCCTTCATGGGCCTACGAGGTGCCAGGCAGTGCTGGGCGTTGCGGACAGTGAGCCAAATGCTTCGACCCTGGTCCTCAAACGGGAGTATGTCTGCCCTTGAACTGTGGGTGCTGTAGGCTCCCGGGGGCAGGGACCGCGTTGGACGCCTCCACCACACCTAGGTGCGCACGAGAGGAGCTCAAGAGGTGGGATGCGAGACCTCGAGGACGGGGCGAGTCGCGGCGCCTCCACGGGCCTCAGCCTTTCTGCTAACATACTGGAGAGGACAGGTCTCCCTGGGCTCTTACAGTTCTTTAAAAAAATAAAAATAAAAAAGGCACTGTGGACCCCAGTACAGACGGGATAAGAGCCTGGGAGCACTGCCAAAAGGTGCGGCACGATTGGGGGTGGCAGAGAAAAAAAGGGGACAGGAACGAACGGAGAATGCGGGGCCCATCCAAAGGCGCCAACGGCGTACACGGCGCAAGCGCATCTAGGGCCGGCGTGGGGGTGGGGGAACAGCTGGGGCTCGAGGCTCCAGGTCCCTCAGGCCCGCAACCGACCCTCAGGCCGGGCCGGGAAGAGCGAATGGTCTGGCGTCTTCTGCCGCGGGCCCGGCGTCCGCCCATTGTTTTCCCCGCCAGATACTCACCACGCGGTTATCCCTCTTCCCCATGGTGCTGGACTGCGCGCACCTCCAGACGCCCAGGGACACCAGGGCAGTGGAGCAGCGAAACAGGTCCACACAGGTCCTTACGTCGACTCCTCCACCCCGCCCAGAGAGCGGCGCTGCGCGGATTGGGCAGCCGCGTCTGGACACAGCGCCTCCTACCGCCGCGGAGGAGAGGCCAGCGCCGGCGATCACCCGTGGTTCCCAGGAGTCGCACCCGGATTCTAGTTCTTGGCCGCTCACCAAGGGCAGAGAGGCACTGCTCTTTTGTACGGCAGCCCTCACAAGGCAGCTCACCGCCATTCGGCTCTCTTCCATTTCTGATGCACTGAAATACTCATTCTTGGAGATTCAAAAATTATACCAACGCTTATTGTGTGCTTTAACAAAGCGCTAGTGCTGAGGATAAAGTGATGAGGATAGACGTGGTCCTTCGCGGAGTCCATGGGGCAGTGAGGGAGAAGACAGCAGCGTCCTAGATGTTGCTAAAGAAATCGCCCTTTAGGTTCAGTTCCATTCATCCCTCACCCACACATTCATTTCACACTAATTTTTGAACTCTGTGCAATTCTCTAACTAGGTGACTGAAAGCTGGATCTGGGGCAGGACACAAAGATGATTAAGACACAGTTCCTACCTTCAAGGGATCTGTATATTACCTGGTAGGGAAGGTAAGCCTACACAGGCTATAACTTTACTGCGTGGTCTGTCATAACATTGTCAGTACAGAACTAAAACTTCTAGGGAGGTGATGGGGCTCCAGAGGAGTTATAGCTACTAAGTATTTGCAGACCTGGGTAAAGCTAGGGCCTTCGGTGCCCATCTCAGCACAGTGTCATTAGAAAGTAACTGAAAATTATATGGATATTTTCTGGACTCTTGGAAAGTGACAAAATGGACTCACACTCATTACATACAAGAAAAAGTCTTAAAATTGGCTTTCCCGGGTTGTCTCCCTCCTTCCCTTTCTCATGCTGCATTGCACAACAGATGCTCCCAGCTCCCGTTTTCTCTTTCAAAATTTTCCCAAACTCTAATGCAGCTGTTAGTGGTTCTACTCCCCACTAAGCATTCATTCTCCTGAGAAATCCACTTTACTTTTCACTGTTAATTAGACCTCCCCAGCCCTTCCTTTCTCCTCCTCTTCCATGACTTAAGCTGGGGAACTCTCTGACCAAAGGCAGGCTTCTCTGTGTGCACAAGAAGAAGAGAAGAACCTGTAAATAAGGTTTTTTTTCATGGTTCAGTTATGGTTTTCTTTTTAATATTCCAGGCACTTTACAAATATTTCCAATACTTCAACATAAGCTTGATAATACCTGTGGGAGAATATAGTGTTTTACCCCTTTCTTATCTTTCACTTCCTTGGGCTGATTTCACAGAGATTTTTAAAAAATATACTAATGCTACAAGTCTACAGAAGGGTTTGAGTTTTCTGTAGGTGTCTGCCCCTCTGGCAATATACACATCCTCCCAGATGGAGGGAGCATGGATCCCAGGCGAGGACAAAGAAACAGGAAAATACCCGAGGAACACATAGAAATAATGAAGAATGCTAAAGCCATTGGGAGCTCACCTGTGGGGTTTCACAAAGACTGGACCAGTCTAGCCTTCTCAAGATATAACTCAGAGTGACTCAATGAGAAGAATAAAGAAATGCTTTATACATGCTCTCTACATGTGTGAACACATTTTCCTTCTAGCTACAGACGTACATGTCCTCCCAAATATCCTAGGCATAACCAAGGGATCATATTCCATTTTTCAGATAAAAAAACTGAGGCTAAGAGAAACCAAGTAATTTGCCCCTTTGAACAGGGAGTAATGTGAGCATCGATAAATGGCAAATTTTAAATAGTGAGATTAATAATAATAATTGGGGGAGGGATTTTCAACTTGAAGAGCATTCAAGAATTTTAACTCAGTTGACATTTTTAACATCAAAGATGAACTTGGGACTGTATTCAAATTTAATTATATAGTTGATTGAATTTCACATAGTTTTAATTGTTGTTATGTGGGTATTTAAAAATTTTAACAGGAGAGAAACACAAATCCACAAACCCAAGTGTCCGTTCTTTGGGTAGGCACATCTCTAAACTGGAGATGGAAGCATAGCAATTTCATGTCTGAAGACAATTGCCATTTTCTTCATCCAACTATATTAACCAAAGACAGGAGACAAGTTCAATATCCATCACAAGGGAACTTGTTAAAGTATAGTACAACCATACAATGACAAACTACCCAGGCATTTAGAAAGTGAAGTGTGTGTTGATGTGGAAAAATGGCCACTTTATGTTATTAAGAGGGAAAATTATAGAGCACTATATAGAGTATGGGAGCATGAACATTAACAATAGGATATATTATTAAACTATATGAAATTGTTGATATTCAGCAATCTCTAACCTATAAGAACGGCAATTTCATATGGTTCAAATTATTACATACATATGCTTGAATATGTCCAGAGAATTTTCTGAAAAGTTTATACAATAAACCTTCAGTGTTGATTGCTTCATCATAGGACTGGTGGGTTGAGGGAGTTGGGCATAGGAATTTTTATTTTTCACTGTATCCCCTTCTTTTCTGACTTACTTTAGTTGTGAAAGATGGCTCAGCTAATCAACTCCCCTTTCTCTGATTCCACACTCAACTTCTGGGTATAATTTTGCCTACATGGAGAGAAAACCATGACCAGTAAACATGACTAGCTGGTGCTCTTGACAGGTATATTTCTCATTGTAGAAGCCATAATGAGGATCTGTTAAAAACAGAATTTGAATTATGAAAACGAAGAAGTGATTCGCTCTAATAAACCGCTGGTTCAATACTATTAATGGATGAAGGCAGTGGAAGTTACCAAGTAAAATGAGTCAGAAAGGAAAATTCCTGATATTCATGAGAACTTCAACTGAATCAATGTGTAATGGTTTCACTATAATTCTCCCCTTGTTCTTTCTCTATGGAGGTGACTCACAAGCTATAAATGCTATAAAAGTTTTTGGCCAATTATTTCAGGTTGGCTATTGTTAGCATTGAAAGAGAATGCTTTTAATTAAAAAAAAATACACCACAACTCTACTGAAGTATAGTTTACATATAATAAAATTTACCAGTTTAAAATGCATAGTTTGATGAGTTTGGACAAATTTATACAGTCATGTAACCATCACTACAATCAAGATATGGAACATTTTCATTTTTCTAAAAAATTCCCTTTTGCATCTTTGACTTTAATCCCCTTCCTTGTGTTCTAGTCCTTGGAAACTACTGATCTGTTTTTTGTCACTAGGGTTTTGATTTTTCTAGACTTTCATATAAATGGACTCAAATAGAAGATAGCCTTTTCTTGTGTCTGACTTCTTTTTCTTACAATACTTTAGAGATTTACCCATAGTGTGTATATCAACACTTGTTCCCTTTTATTGCTAAATGTATTTCATTGTATTTATAAATAACAGTTTGCTTATTCATTGACCTTTTGATGGAAATTTAGATTGTTTCTAGTTTTTTTGCCTATTATGAATAAAGCTATATGAGTACTCATATATGCATTCCTATGTACATGTTACCATTTCTTTCAAGTTAAATACCTAGAATATATTTACATTGAATTTTAAATACATTAAATTGTAGATACATTGAATTGAATTATAGGTATACGTTTAACTTTAACTCCCTAATTCTTTGCAAAGTGTCTGTATCATTTTGCATTACTGAGATCAATGGGGAGAGTTTCAGTTCCACATGTTCACCAATACTTGGTGTTATCAACTTAAAAACATTAGTCATTCTGGTAGGTGTGTAGTGATCTCTCATTGTGGTTTCATTTTGCTTTTCCCTAATGACTAATGCTGTTGTTCATCCTTTCAGGTTCTTTTTTTCTTTTATTTATGTTCTTTGGTGAAGTGTCATTTCAAATCTTTTCCCATAAAAAAAAAATGGACTAATTACTTGTCTGAACACCAATCTTTTGCCAGAATATGTTTTGCAATCTTTTTCTCCCAATCTGTAGTTTGCCTTTTTCTTTTCTTTAAGTCCTTTTTTAAAAAGATTTTATTTATTTATTTTTAGAGAGGGGAAGAGAGGGAGAGAAACATCGACATGTGGTTGCCTCTCGTGCTCCCCTTACTGGGGACCTGACCCTTGGCCCAGGCATGTGCCCTAGACTGGGAATCGAAACGGTGACCCTTTGGTTTGTAGACTGGCACTCAATCCACTGAGCCACACCAGACAGGACTGCTTTTTTATTTTCTTAAGACTGTGTGTCAAAGAGCCAAAATTTTAAATCCTGATGAAGTACCACTTACCAATATTTTCTATTTGTGTCTTCTCTAAGAAATTTTTGCCTAACCCAAAGTCACAAAGATTTTCTCTTAGTTTTCTTCTTATGATGTGAGATAAGGATCAAGATTCCTTTTGTCCCCCAATGATATCTAGTTTCTCCAGAACTGTTTGTTCCAAAGATTGTCCTTTCCCTATTGAATTACTGTATAATTTTGCTAGGGCTGCCACGACAAAGTACCACACATTGGGTTGCTTAAGCAACAGAAATTTATTTTCTCACAGTTCTGGAGGCTAGAAGTCCAAGATCAAGGTGTCATCAGGGCCATGATGCCCATGAAGGCTCTAGGAAAGAATCTCTCTTTGTTTCTTTTGGCTCTCTGTGGCCCCAGGCATTCCTTCACTTGTGGCTGAATGAGTAAGTTTCCAGTGACTAGATGACTTCAAGCAAACTGCCGACACATGCAAACAGAGGCATGCACAGTACTGCTCATGGAAGAACTGTTTCATATAGTGAAAACTGGGAGTAGTGTGGGGAGAGATACCTATGAATAGAGGATTAGCTTTGCAAACTATAGTGCATTTATACAATGGCCCTCTATACAGACATAAGAGATGGTAATGTAGATCTTTATTTATTGAAATGACAAATTATCCAGAATACTATGTAATGTAACAAACATTCCTCAAAGCACAACTTATTGAATAGGGTGTACAGCTCATCTCCAAGGGTAAAATTATATTCATGTATCTTGCATATATCTATGTAAAGCTAGGTATTAATACTTACCAAAATGTTAGCAGTGATTTTT